CTAATTGTAGTTGAGCAAACTCTGGTCTTTTACTCAACTCAGCTCCTGTAATGTCCTGCATGCAGAGAAGGGTGGGGTGGGGACTCTAGCCCCTCCCAGTGACCAGCATTAAGTGATAGGCTGATAGGCAACTGTTATTGCTGTGGCACTGATATTCTTGTTAATCAACTTCCCCCCTTTCCCCTCCCCTCCATTCATCCTTCATGCACAATAGGCATAACATGGGTTTGGTACTTATTATCTTAGAAATTAAGCACTGCACCATGTGACCATGAAAAAGAATGACCAACTTACTCTTTGCAAGGCATATAATAGGGCTGAGATGAAAATGGGCTGTGCGTGGATTGGATGAAGGGGGAGATACTGAGAGGATGAAGTTGAAGGGAAAAAGGTAATGTGAGGTGAAACATTGCTGAGCGGCTTGACATGAGCATCATCCATGCCAAAGTGAGGATGGTTTTGCAGGAAATCTTCCAGCATCATCAGAGACAAGATTGACCTGAAAGGGGTATGGATGTGAAATTCATTCCAAATATACCACTCTTTTAATATACAAAGTAGGGAAAAAGCACAAGTACTTAATTCCAAATGTGGTCCAAGAGCAAAGTGAAAATCTCATTCAACTGTAATCAGCTACTTTGTTTCCAAATCCATAATATTTTTACTTCCATTCCTATGCTATACACTATATATGCTATTTTTATTCTAGTGATATCCATGGAAACTGATCCCAGGACAATATATTCAATGCCAACAAATTTCTAAGCTTCTAGGCACAAGATGATTGTAAAGTAACTCCTTATTTTCAAGTGGTGATAACATCTGTTTAAAAAATATGGATAACATTTTTTTTTATGCCATTCAAAAGATGATTTTATGTAATTAAAGTTCAACATGACCTCCTGCATTTTCCACACATCAACAGAGCACAAAAGAAACTCCTGTGGTACATTATTGAACACTTCATATATCTTTCCTTCCAGTAGTTCCAAATCACCTGGGTTTGTTTTATAATACTTTCACTTTGGCCCATCCCCCCCCCAGAAAAAGTCACAAGGGTTAAATCTTGGCTTCTGGCAGGCCACTTTGTTGGTCCTCACCTGCCAATCCACCAGTTAGGAAAATGATCATCAAACCAGTTGCACATATCATGCTTAATGTGGAGGGGTCACATCTTGCATGAAATGCAAGATATAAGCATTATCCCACTGAGATATCACAGGAAACACAAATGTTTCCAACATTTCCAGGTATCTCACTGAATTCAAAGCTCCAAAGAAAGTAATACTCAACAAGCTGAGCTGAAGACATTCCACACCATAATGTAACTTTGTGATGACCTTGGCTGCTCTCAACTGTCATACTGGGATTAGTAGCAGCCCAGTAATGACTGTTATGCCTGTTAACAAATTTGCTCAGATGAAAAACTGCTTCATTTGACCAAACAACATTTTGTATGAGATCAGGTTAATCCTCCAACCACCCCAGCATGATTTCAGTTGACTCCATCCTTTGGTCACAGTCCTCAGGAAGTAACTCCTACGTGTAATGCAGTTTCCATGGTTTCCAACTCAGTTCCTTCCTCAACTTTGATTGAACAGTATGATATGTGAGGCCAGTTTTCATGAGCAACTTGTCAAATGGATCCCTTTGGACTTTGTGCAAACTTCTGCACCAGCACAGCATTTTCCAGAGTTCACGATGCTGACAGTCTTCCACCTTGCATCACATCTTTAAGTGAATTGATGGTAATCAACTTGCAGTAGTTTTTCATTTTCTTAGGATCAAGAGTTGCATGCCTTCTTCATTCCTCCATCTCTGAACCTCCACCACAGATCTTCAAACCTTATATCTCACCCTCAATTTCAGTTGTTACTGATAGTCTACCTCTGCACTATGTTTGGTCAACAATGGAAACTATTTTATTTAATCTGAAAAAGCAAATTTAATGGCATAAAATTATCAATCAGATGACATTAAATTTAATTTTCTATCTACATTTGAACAAAAGTATCACCGTTTGAAAATAAGGAGTTGCTTTACAATCACCCTGTAGATATGTGCCACAAGGATGAGGATGTTTCTGATGAATAGTAAACTGTATCACCAGCTGTTTACATCAATGGCATACCATGGAAACATCCAGCATAATAATAAATGAAGAGTCCTTTCCATGAACTGATGGGTCAGGATCAATGACTTTAACCTCCATTTCTCCACTTCCACTCAAACCATTTTCATGAAACTTCTTTCTTGTGCTGGTAGAGGATTGAATGGAATGCCTTCATACATTACAGCCAGACCACATCAGACTTCAATTCCATTGAAACTAATCCTTTGAGCTGGCTTTTTCTTGCGGATAGTATTGATGAGCTTTCCTCAAATTAATAATCAATGTATCAGTTGATTTGCTCATCATTTATTTAGATTTAGAAGTCTAGTCACTCCAAAGGGGTGCTAGTTTGATTCTATTTTAAATTTCCAATTTCTTTTGAATAATTGCTCATATCATCATTTAGTGGAAAGACTTTGGATGGAATTTCCTATGTATGCTAGGAACATATCAATACATGCACAGTGAAATACAGCAAGTGAGAGCAAAGATATAGAACTCATGATTTTTTTTTTTCATACTCAAACTTCCAGGTGAGTTTATTGAGACTTCTGATGCAAGATTCCAACATTTCCAAAAAGATTCCAAGGTATTGGCAAACCCAGGTCTGCTTTCATGATATTCAGCTGAACCACATGCCACAATTTTTCATGGAAATATTCAAATTCTGTTAGATATAGCAATGTAACCTCACTCTTCCCTTTAATACTTAAACTTAATCCTGCTTTAGATAAAAATGTGCTGAAATATTTTAGAATTGCTTCCTGAACATAGATACAGAAAATGATCATTCCTGGCCTTTGTACAGCCTAGACATTCTTGTACATGGTAATATCTCTTGTGGCATGCCTCTTAACCCTTTCATTCACAATCAAAAATTTAAATGGCAAAACTGGCAGCAAAATTCAGCCACATTTGACAAAAGCATTTATTTGTGGTTTCAATTCTTAGTTTGGTTGTACAAAAAATTACTTAATACAATTTGGCATACACCTTGGAGATATGCTGTATTATCATTTGGCTCAGGAAATTTGAAATTTGCAATCTTTGATTACCAGTGAAATGAAGATTTTTAGCCAATATGTCCTTGTTGGTCTATATGAACTTGTTAGGAGAGCCATTAGCTGATCAAACAGTGTCACTACTGTCACTGTCACTTTCATTGCAGCTCTCATCTCTACTTTCTTCAACATATTCATCATAAGCACAGATGTCTAAAGTGCTGCTTTACATGTCTCATCTGTTTTATTTTGTCCTTGGTCCATCTTGCTCTGCCTTCCCCAGTAGATTCATTATTGGTGCTGAAGCAGCTGTTAACAGCTTTATTTCACAGGGGATTGATAGGCTACATAGTTCTCCACAAAATCAGATTTCCTGGCTGACCAGTTGACCCAATTACACTGGAAATTTTATTACTAACTCTGCCTTAGTGGGCAAGATGAAAAGATGCTGAGAGGATTAAAGCCAGATGGTAAAGTGAAAAAAAAGCAAACAGCATTGAAAAAGAATCTGCAGAGAAGCAAGTAATCAAATCACTTATAATGACTTACAGCAAAGCTGCCTGTCCCATCTGGAGGGAGTAGAGGGTAAGAGGGTAAGAGCAAAAAAACAAACAAACCCTCTCCCACTTTTAAGCATATCTCAGCTGTTACTAATTCTATTTTCATTAAACATGCACATGGTATCAGCCAATGTTTTCAAGAGACTGTGAAATTGTTGCCTGTTGAAGAAAGGCAATAAGCAAATATTCACCAAGTTGTTGGATATTGAAAATGCACAAGATCTCATGGCTGTAGTCAAGTGGATGAAATGCCTTCATATTACAGTGGCATATCCACACAATTTCCAATTTTTTTTAATTGTTGCTCATAGCCATCTCTTGATGAATGAATTTGCATGAAATTTTGAAAGAGTGATGAGATAAACTTTCATTTTACATAAATGTAAAATGAAAGTCTCATTTAAATAAATAGCTCCAGTAGAGGCAGATAATTAAAGATTAAAAGCCAGAGATAAAAAAGATTAAAAAGAAAGCCAGAGAAAAGATTAAAAGTAGAGGAGCTTTTCTGCCATACCCTGTACAGAGTGACCATCCTGAAGAGGACTGGATTCACTGCAGTGCTTGCATTGACTGGAGGCATGAGGCATGGTCCAATAAGAAAGCAGCACCATTGCAACTACTGCAAGTGTTCACAGGTGGTGACAGTTCTAAGTTGTCCCATTCCCTATTTCATCTTACCCCTCAAGGTGGCACAATGAAACAAAGTTGAGGGTTCTTTCTTTTTTTTTTTTTAACCCATAAGCAAAAATTCTGGTGGTCTGACAAAAATGAACTGAGTGGAATGCATGTCCTCCCAATCAAGGTTTCTACATATGCTTTTCTCTCACAATTATCTTCATTAAGTTGTGAATTATATAGGGAGACCCATAAGTCATGTATGGTTGCAATGAAAGTAATGAAAAGTGTATGCTGCCATTTATAATTCAAGACTGATTGTCTGGGGACAGTTGGTGCAGTAAATACTAAAAAACTTGACCTTGATATACTGCAGAGCACACAGCACTGCTGTGCAAAGTAACAATACAATTACAACACCTTGTCTTTCTTTCACTGCCTCCCATAACTGTATGGGACTTAAAGGCCCCCCCACAGATTATATCAATACTAGGTCCAACTAGCTTCATTCTCAATTACATTTTTAATTGCATGTGAAGTCCAGACTGCTGTTGTGCAAGCAGAAAGAGCAGCACAGATTCTGGGGCCCATCAACTTCCCACAATGGGGATGAAGGAAAAAAAATGCACAAAGATGGGCACTTGATTAGTTAGAATTATTTTCTTAAAAAGAACTTTCATTATTCAAGTTCTTGTAGTAAGAGCAAATTTCTCACCGTAAAAAATTAATATGGAGAGCTTCACAGAAGGTGTCTCTTTCTGTAGAATCACCTTCATTGAAGTGGATGATACTTGAGACAAATGGTTCATCAAAGTCTTCCATGACTGATAGGCTCAATATATGAAGAAGAGTCTCACAAACATTGCATTTTGTCAACAAATAATCAATGCTCCTGCAACGTTCACCAACTACAGAGACAAGGTGAGTGAAGATGTAGGCAAGAACTTCCATGCTCAATATCTTCATTTCTCTATTCGCTATAATGTCTTCTTTCATGATTGACTGTCCATTGCCCTGGTTCAATAGATAGCTTCTCAAGTACCACAGACAAAGCTTCACTATGATATCAAGGTATGAAAATCCTCCAAAGGATCCTTCTGATAGTGCAGAGTCAAACGATTCTCCAAGCAAACCATGTTCATGGTATGACAAAGCGTGCATAAGATGATTTGAGGGTCTGGAAGACATCAGCTGCACAGTCACATCAGGAGGATTTAGCTTGAGCAGTGTTCGTAACATTTGCACTGCATAAATACAACCTGATAAATCAGCAGCATATAGGTAGAGGCAAATGTGTGAATGTAGAGGTGAGAGCACCTCTTTTACATCATTTGATGACATGTAAGGTTCCAAAGGAACTTGGCTCAAGATCTCTTCCACAATGGACTCCACTATCTCTTTTGGGGTTACAAGTGATGCTTGACAAGAGGATTTCACAAAGGTCACACAGTTTGCACCAAGCCGTCCAAAACTTTGACCCACCACTTCACTCTCATCTGATTGTTTGCTTTTGTGCTGCCCCTCACTATCACCATTACCTTGTCTAAGACTGTCAGAAACACCATGATCATCTGCTGTTCCTATATGAGGAGCTTCTCGATTCAAGAGTTCCAAATATCGTTCAAAGAGTCCTGATGGACAGATGTAATGCGATGGTCGCTCAGCTTCATTCCAAAAAGACTGCTGTTTATCTTGCTTCCATAATGGAGGATATACAATATGGGGTATAACTGTTCCTCTTTTGCACTGAACTGCATAACCATGAGCCTCAGGATAGATTACTGTTTCTTTCATGATCACCCTGAGAGTTGAAGGAGACAGAAGCATGAGGAGAAGAGGATCAAGGATGTCACTCAAATGACCATCTGCAAAACATCTCCAGAGCCAAGCTTCAGCAATGGTAGACAATGATGCATTTTGGACACCCAAGCTCTCCAATAGCAGAAGGGTACACCTGCACAACACAAATGGAATGCATTCTGATTGACACCATAAAAGTAAAATCCAGAGATATTTCACAAATAAATGCATAAGAATAGCAGTGCAGGATAACTAGCAGCAAGAACAGCAGAACATACTTCAGTTGACAAAGATTTCTGTCATCTTAAGGACTGATATCTTTTGCTCAAACTTGAGTATCACTTACTTTGCATGCTGCATCCCTTTGCCAGCCAAACAGCATAAACTTTCATACATATTCTTCAGCTTTCACCATATCAGAGCATGGTTCTGTGAAATCCCTCCCCAAAAATGCATACCTACAGCATCTCATGCATGGCTTCTTAAAGGTCCACAATTATGAACAAATATACTATAATGCTCCTAATTAAATCAATATTTAAATGTCCATCTTCTCCTTCTTTCTGGCTTTCTTTACAGTCAAGTAGGGCTATGTTATAGGTAATCAGTAATCTATTCTTCTGCAGTCTATAGTTCATGAATGAAGACTAAAAGGGGGAGAGGACAGCCAGAAAAATATAATACCTTGTGAAGCAGTTTTTCTGACTGTTCCCATAACCCAGGTCCTCCCACAGGTAGGGAAAATGCTCACTTCTATAATGAAAAACTCATCCAATTTGCACCCAAGTAAGAATGTGCAATTTTTCTTGCAACATTAATGCATTATTGTACAGTGCCCTGACAAAATAAAATGAGCACATTTGATAGTGAGCAAACTTAGTTTACTAATCTGTCATACAATTTCAATCCAAAGGACCACATCTTTTGCATGCAACCAAAGGACATCCTACCAGATACTAATATATCTGGTCCTTTGGATTGTAATTGTATCACAGATTAGTAATTTAAAGTTTGTTCATTATCTGGGGTGTTCACTTTATTCTGGAAGGGCACTCTATGATACACATCAAAGGCACAGAAATAAGCAAGAGAGTGTATCACATGTTACAACAGTCCCCCAAATGGGCTAATTTCAGGAACCATCATCTTCATAGAAAGGTGAGACATCTGGGTGTCATTGTAGTGAATGCACACAGATCTGGAGAATTTCAGGGGTTGTAATTAAAAGTTAAATCAACAGAAGCCCTTTCTTTTTTTTTTTACAAACTTAAATAATTGTTAATTGTTTAGAGGGTGGGTGAATAGAGCTTTTTCAGGATAATCTGGAGATACAGATAATAGAGGCCTGGGTAATAGGTGTTTATTGTCTTTGGCCTAACTTCAAAGTCCACATGTGTAGATGCACAGTGACAAGAAGTAAAACAAGGCAGTTAACTAGTTACTTCCAGATCTCTGGAACTACTGGATCATTACATGTGAGGCTTGAAAAACTAATGTTGGAAAAGATGGAAACATACCAAAGTAGGGACTAATGAGTTGGAAAGAACACATTGGTACAAACACATGCCATTGAGAATTTTACTGAAAAAAGATGCTTTCCAGTACTACTCCTATTGACACATAGCATCATGTGACAACACTCCAAAAAAAATGTGAGCAATTGAGAGGTAGCAAGCATAGTGCACCCTTCCATATTTCCTCTATTGCCCTGTTAAGACTCCTACTAGAGTACTGTATACTTCATGTATTATGTACTGAATCAAAGAAGATGGAGAGAGCTTTCAGAGATGGAATTCACTGTAATGATACATAAGTCTAAAACAGGGCTTCCCAACATTTTTCATGCGTGACCCCAAAAATCATGATCGTACCATTTAGGACCCCAAGCACAGTTCGACATGCTCACCCACCTATGTGCTAAAATAACATAGAAAAACATAACTTGGCATTTAGCTGCCGGTTCCCGACCCCAAAATGATCTTGGCACCCCCAAATGGGGTTGCAACCCCAGGGTTGGGAAGCCCTGGTCTAAAAGATGAAAGAGAAATGAAAGAGTTATATCCACATCAGAATTTGGGGAGCACTCAGTTTTTTTTAGAATAGGATAATACAGGGTGACAATTAATTCATGGACACATTTGACTTGTTAATAAATTGTTTTATTTGGATAGTACAAATTCAAGATACCAAAAGTTTAAAAGAACATAAAGTGGAAATATTGTTAGCATACACATTTCTTCAGTTTTTGAAAATTATGGTAACTTCTGCCTAAACATGTGTATTCATGGCAGTGAAAGAATAAATCGTCCATGACTTGCTGGAGAGTTTCATGAGAAATGAGGCTTATTTCATCTCTGATGTTATTTTTCAGTTCAGTCAACATTCATGATTTAGTCAGATAGACCTTGGACTTTAAGTAGCCTCACAAAAAAAAGTCTGGAGCAGTTAGATCAGGTGATCAGGAGGGTCATGGAATGTCTCCAAATCTCAAAACAACATGATTTGGAAATGTCTCCTGCAAAAGTTGTCTTGTTTCAATGCCTGTATGGCAAGTTGTGCCATCCTGTTGAAAGAAAACGTAATTGAAATCTGTGTTGTGGCGATATAATTCAGGAATGAAAAACTGTTGTTTCAAGACTTGGAGACATTCCATGGCCATCCTGATCACCTAATCTAACTGCTCCATACTTTTTTTGTGGGGCTACTTAAAGTCCAAGGTCTATCTGACTAAATCATGAACATTAACTGAACTGAAAAACAACATCAGACGAAATAAGCCTCATTTCTCATGAAACTCTTCAGCAAGCCATAGATGATTTCTTTTTTCACTGCAGTGAATGCATATGTTTGGGCAGAAGTTACCTGACATCAGCATTTTTTTTTTAATTGAAGAAATGTGTATGTCAACAATATTTCCACTTTATGTTCTTTCAAATGTTTGGTATCTTGAAATTGCACTATCCAAGTAAAATTAGTTATTGGCTAGTCAAATATGTCCATGAATTGTCACCCAGTATAATATGCCTAGAAAAAAAAACCTGGGAATGGCTATCAGCATAATATGATTGAAATTTGTCACTAGAATGAAATATGAAAGTCTACCTGTAAAACAGGAATGACGGCTCCATTTCCCACAAAAAATGAAAGTTCTCAAGAGCCTTGTTCCCTCTGCTGGCATTCATGTCACAGTGAATCAGGTGACAAAGGCTGTCCTCAATTTGGCTCTTTTGGCTCTCACTGACTGTTCCATACAACCTTTCAAGAGCCTTCACTCCCTCAGCATTCCAGCTATCTTCCCAAATATGGCCCACTACAACCTAGAGAGATACCATCAAGCAATATGTCACATCAACCACATCTTATGGTCATATTTCTCAGGAGCATAAGGTAACATATCAATTTAATTATTTCCATAATTTAATTTCTCTCAGGGAATCTGAAGTTTCAGATCCCACAGGGGACAAGAAATATCATGAGATGCTATAAATGAGCTTTATCTGCTCATTCTCGCTCTCACTAAAGGCTGAATGACTTAAGCCTCCCTGTATTGATTAAAAGTAGGAATCTGAATCTATCACTTGAAGAATCTCATCAAGGCCACATTATTTTTTTTCCTTCCATGAATTGGCCACCAATTTCAAATGTTGAGCACAAAGATTGACTAGATGAGCTTTAGTTGACATGATTGTATTCACACAATGATGCCCTGTCATTAAGAATTGTTCACCTTCTATAAGATTCTTTAGAGGGAATCATAGACAAGTAAAATTTTAAATATGTGATGTTAATGGTTAATTGAATATCCCACTATTAGTAAAACACTTGTTTCTTAATTAGCAGTCAAAAGGGACTTAATAGCAAGATGCCTTGATTGTAACTGAATAATTCATGACTCTATTATTGGATTCTTTGTTATTTGTGATAATCTTGTCTCAGTCTACCATAGTCTTAGCCACATCATCATCAGGATGCATAATATAAAGAAGCACTTGGAAAACATCACTTCTTCTCATGTTATACACCATATAAAGAAAGTGCTATTCATGGCTGAAAATTCAATGACAGAATACTGTTTGGAAGAAAGTGACATACACAAGCATGGAGCTATGGAAACATTGATGAAGAAATCTCAGATGATTACAGATAATTAGTTTAACTACATAGGCATGAAGAATGTGGATCAAAATACTTTTGAACATATGGATGCATTGAATTGTGGGTGTACTCAAAGGTAGGGAAGTGGCCATAATCACTTCTTTCCTCTTGTCACTATCCCTTGTTACAGGGATAGAAAATCAAACATCATGGGAGAGCTATTTCCTTTTAGTCAGCAAGAAAAGGTATGGAGCAGGAATCTTGACTACATTAAATATCAAAGCTAGTTTGGAGAATCACACAAGGGTCACAGATTATTTTTTTACCTGTCAACTTTGAAAAGTATGCAATTAAACTTTTTTTTTCATTACCTTTATTATTGGTCATGCATTAGTTTTTACTTTTACACTTTTCTAATACTGCATGCGACCTGTTTGTTTTGATTTCTTCCTCATGTTTAGGATGCAATAAGGGGGAAGGGGGCATTTTCCCTCCCCCATCTCAGCATCATCAATAGGCATACATAAAAGGTCATTCCACCATGTGTCTGACATCCTGTAGGAAGCATATTGTGAATTTGCTTTAAATTTTATGTTAAGATTTGTTTTATCAATTAAATAAAAGAAATAGCACCTAAAACTTTGGCATTCAGACTGAGGTCACAAAGTATTGATCTGAGCATGCTTTTCAATCTAAGTGAATGTATTGTACTTCATTCCAAAGTATTTTAAAAGACCCTTCTATATCATGCCTCATCTTTTCATGTTGCCATAAAATGTGCACAACTAAGTCTGAATAATTTCCAAGATTTTTGACCTTGAATAATGTTATAAAAACACTTTTTTCAATTTGAAGGCTAAGCCCTTTCACTCACAGTGAAAGAATTACAAGACACAATAATGTAACAGTACTTCAAATGCCATTTGGAGCCGCTGAAAACCATTTCATGGAGTTGTTCAATATGCAATTGTGGGTAAAGAGATAATTCATCCAGAAACAGTCTGCCATTTTTCAGGGTAACAGGGAACTGATAGCCCTGAGTAGCAGCAACATGGCTTCCAATATTGATCTGGGAACCATGGTGAAGGTTCAATCTTCCATGTATTTTGGGAATATAGATACTCAATAAACATTACTTTATTTTCTCACTAGTCATACTGGAAATATGGACACTGAGAATGTGCTCAGAATCACTCTGTAAACAAATAAATTTTTCATTTGAGCCTCTTTGCAACTGTGTATTTCATGATATAGTGAATAGTGATTGCAGTAGACTTTATGCCTTGGGTGCACTCTTTTCAGATTGAATTGAAACCTCACCTGCCATTAGAGCAATTCTATTTATTTCATAATTGTAGTAGTGATATATTGGGGACAGTGGATAAATATTAACCCTTTCACTGCTGAGTAAATAATGTAAGTAGCATGCAACCTAAACTTGTGTACTGCCATTAGACCTATCATATGCTATGAATTTGTGGGCTTGAAGAGAAAGTTATCAAAACATCAACAGGAACTTTTGTGTACTGCATTATGGCAAAACACAGCCTTCCTGTGTGCCACCATAGCAAGTAAAATCTGTATAAAACATGAAGTATGCTGTATGTCATTATAGCATTGAAAGGGTTTATAGAATTCTTCACAGCTGTCTGACTTGACACTGGTGGAGCCCTGTATGGTTTTGCAGATAAAAATATTCCTGGCTTTTGACAAGGGCTGGTATGGATTTGGCCAATCTTGATGCCATATCTAGCATGACAAGCATTAAAGTATCAGTGTGTTCTTTCTTGCCATTTACCCTGGGACAAAATGGGTCAAAATATGATAATTCCAGAATGTGAAAGGATGGTATTTCTTATTGAAATTTTTACTAGCTATGATAAAGAAAATCCTGGTTTAATAAAGCAAAATTTAGGCGGATTTAGGAGGTGAAAAAGGTACCTAAGATACAAGGTGCAGTCAGAAAGTCCATACCATCGAGCCATATCTCATTTACAGTCAGGAGTTCTGAATAGAAACTGTGGTCACTTCCTAACATAATTGCCTGCTTTACCTACACACAGTTTCCACCTTCCTTGCCAGTCACTGAAGAACTTGGAAAATGCTTCCTCAGGTGTATGTTCAAACCACTGGTAAACTGCAGTACCACAGGCTTGTTGGGAGTCATACATCTTACTCTGTAATGAATCCTCGAGTTCTGAGGACACCCAAAAGTTGTTGGGTGCCAGGTCCAGAGGGGTACAGGGGATGGGGCAAGGCCTCAATACTACTTTCTAAAAAAATCTCCCTTACAACACCTGCCTTGTGTGGTGGTGCATTGTCCAGGTGAAAAATGAACCAGTCATTGGCCTTCAACGGATGCAAATTTTTTTTACTGCTGGCAAAAGCTCAGTTTGTAACACATTTGTAGTAGCTTCCATTATTGGTTGCACCTTTAGGAACTATGTGAAGTAGAACTAAACCCTGTTTGTCCAGAAAAATAGCATAAAGAACTTTCTCATTGGAAGGGGCCTGACAGATCACACACATTTGATCACAGTTCTTTGTTCTTCCTCTGTGAACTCCATTGCTCAGGGACAGTAGGGGAAACTCTGTGTTGAAAAACCAATGCTGCACACAAACAACAATGCCAACAATGTTCACAATGTGCTGTCTGACTCACTAACTAATCATAATACCTTGTCCAACCCATAACTTATTCCAACTAATTTCAGAAATGTATGCTAGAAGCGTGCGGTATGGACTTTCTGACTGCACCTCATAGAAGCAAATGGATGATCACATGAACTTTGACTTTTCAAAGAAGATAAGGCATGAGGTGAGCATAAGAAATGAGAGCTCCATGCTCAGTCTTGCTAGGCAGTGGATGTATGGCCAAAAACCTACTACTACAGCTGGCATACTTTCCTCCTGGTCTTCCTCTAGCCTTATACCACAGTGTCCAGGTTTAATTGGTATCATAACAGCCTTTTCTGTTGCTTATGGCAGAGTTCCATCTGAACCTTGTCCTTGAGCCACTTCCTTCTTGGAAGTGGCCATATATCCTTGCATTGTCAGATGGATCACATTTTGCTATGATAGTAACCAAGACTCACAATGAGGAAACTGCTGAAAATGGGCAAAAGAGCACTTGTAGATGAGATTTTCTCTACAGTACAGAGTGGTTAAAAAAAAAAAAACAAACTGTTCACTTCAACATACTGTAAATCAGGCTGCAGTGCCTTCATTTGAGAAAGCTTTTAGGCACGCATGAAGCAACTCTTTTGCAGCAGATATAATTATATGTTATGACATCATGAGTTTCTTGTTTCATCAGGATGAAAATGGCTGCCTCCATTCAGAAAACTCCTGCAACAGTCTTCAGCTGCAGTTTGAGTTGGAGTAGCAACAGCTGTTGTTAATGAGAACACATTTTATACTCTGAATCAATATTTTACTGTGTTTCTTCCTTTTCCCACATTTTTCTTACTAAAATAAATAATTGCCTAACTATTTGCATGAAGACTTGGCAGTGATCAAGACCTTGTGAGTTTAAAAGGGATGGGAAGCCAGAAGAATGATAAATGAATTTTCTGGTAAAACAAAACCAGCCAAGAAGTGATCTTGAAGGCATCACTTGGAAAGTTAATGAGACAGGATCAGCAACTTGAAAAGAAGGTAGTGGAAGGCCCAGAACCAAAAGAACTGAAGAGAATGATGAAAAAGTTGAAATGCACTTACTGAGTCAGGAGGATCAACCTGGAAGCTGATTTTACCAGAAAATTCATTCATCATTCTTCTGCAAGGTCTTGGATTACTGCCAAGTCTTCATGCAAGTAGCTAGGCATTGCTTTGTTTTAGTAAGAAAAAAATATATGAAAAGGAAGAAATATGTCTTAAAACATTGATGCAAATCCTGTGTTCTTCTTAATAAAAGCTGTTGCTGCTCCAACTCAAACAACAGCCAGGGACTGTTGCAGTGTTGCAGCTATTTTCTGAATCGTGGCAGCTACTTTCATCCAGATGAAACAAAAAACTCATGATATCATAACATATAATTTTATGCCTGCTGCAAAAGACTTGCTTCATGTGTGCCTAAAAGCTAACTCAAATGAAGGCACTGCAGCCTGATTTACAGCATTTTGAAGTCAATAGTTTGGTTTTTGTGAGTCACCCTGTATATGCTGACTTGCTGAATAAGTTCTGCATCAGCCATCTCTTCTATGTTCTCATTCAAGTTATAACTGAATCCTGCTCCCATTGCAGGGACCTTTACAAAATGGAGTTTCCTAAACCCAAAGTAGAATTTAAATAATGAATACATGTGTACAATAGCTATCTTGCAGTAAAGGTCTCCCCAAGTGATGAAGCAGCATCTTCAATACCACCAAAAAAAAATATATTAAATTAACAAAAAGAGAGAGTGAAACTTCCCTCTTAATTTCACATGGAAAGCAAGAGCTTATTACCACTGAGCAGTACATGAACTAAAGGGTGTCCCAGAAACCCCACCCAGGTTTGGTACATTATTATGTCTTTATTTTTTTTCTAATGGAAATGGGTTTTGTATCATTCAGAATGCCTAGACCTTTCTTAACAACTGCAGTTAAACCTAATGGTTTGTGATTACTGGTTATGGGTTTTTTTTTTTAAAGAGGAGGTGTATGCTACAAAACCCCTAACATCCCTGACCTCATCAGTGCTATTCACTTAGTCTTAGTCTCTGTCCAAACTCGGGGTGGGGTTTCTGGGATGCAAGGGTTAAAAGCAGGGATTAAAGCAGGGATTCAATCTTTTGCCACTGAAATTGGTTCCCATTCTGATCATGACACACACATACAGCATCACCGGGGAAAGTCATCCACTGCTTTCTGGCACATGTCCAAGTTTATGGCATTCAGTTTGGTGGAAATGGCACTGATGAGGTCAGGGATGTTAGGGGTTTTGTAGCATACACCTTCTCTTTCAAAAAACCCCACAACCAGTATTCACAAACTGTCAGGTTTAACAGCAGTTGTTTAGAAAGGTCTAGGCTTTTGAATGATACAAAACTCATTTCCATCAGAAAAAAAGACATAATAATGTACAAAACTTGGGGCAGGGTTTCTGGGACACCCTGTATTGTATGTGGATGTTCAATGGTTGACGCATGTAGTGATGCTTGTGGATAGAACAATACATTAGCAATGAAGCCCATAAACTTCATTGCTTTTGAACAAAATATAAAAACGTTTGGTGGTTCTCCTAGCAGTACAATTATCACCAATTAAATAAAAAAGTGTGACACCATGCAGTTAGTCTGAAATGAATTTTCAGTCAGTTCTCTGCTACACAAGTGTGGTATAAATTAAATTCAAAAGAGTTTATGAGGGCACAAGGATTTCAATTTGGTTTACAAATACTTTTCAGAGTTCTATGAGCAGTGGTATTTTTTCAATTTCTGCACATGCAATTTGAAAAAATTTCAGCTGGACTTGGGACAAATAAGTGAAATTTCTTCAAGATTCACTGTTAACAATTAAATCAACTGATGGTATAGGGAAATGAAGCACTACGTATCATATCCAGTCAAAATGTCAAAAACACACGTCAACTGTCTGATTTTCGATAACCAGTCAAATTCCTGAATGTCAAAGGAATGAAATGTTGAAAGTCAAAATGTCGGAAGAGAGAAAAGTCAAAATGCACTTGGTCCAGAAAGAAAAGCAAACTAATTGGCAGTTAAAATGTGATAACCTCTGACATGCGGCATTCAAAACTGAACATTATGTGCCACTGCGTGTAAGTAATCACGCACTTCATAGTCGGAGTAGGAAGAAACAATTTGATGAATGCATTTTCCCTTGATTCTTCTTTTTTCTTCAGCTTTTGTGTGGGATACCCTGACAAAATTATTTCCATCTTTCATGCTTGAAAACATTCCTCTTTCTGCAATTTGCATTTGTGAGGAAGTGCGCTTGTTACTGATGTAATCAACTCTGCCAATGCTTACTGATGCAGACAGATGATAAGTTGACAAAACAGTCTTTACTGCCTGAAGGGAGCAGAAAAGAAAGAAGTAATCTCCTCTCCTTGATTATATCAGGACTCAAGGAACGGAAAAGAATAACCGGATTTTGACGTCTTGAGGATTCTATGTTTTTCCGCATTTTGACGCCTTCAGTATTATAACAATCAACATTATGCCCATTCACCATTGTCCATTCGACATTGTGTGGCATTTGACGTTTTTGCTAGTCGACATAAAATCTGACAACATTGTGGCTTTTGACATTATGTTATAGAACCCTGCATATTGATGGCATATGTTACTATTTGCTTTCAAATAGATTATCTGGAACCTCTTATCTCACAAAATACACAATTGCATACTGATAAAGTATCTAATCTTAAGGCAAGAAATACTGGTATTAAAGTGTATTATGTCAATTGATTTTGTCCAAATGTATAACATTGATTTTTTACATAAATGAAAAAATTTTTTGAGTGAAAGGGTTCAAGAACAGAGGCTTATACAGAGGCATGCCAAATTTCAGGAATGTGCTTTTCCAGAGTATTGAGTTATAGATGTTAAAGTGAAATCATGTTCAAATATAACATGCTCTAGCTGGCTGAAGGTATAAAAACAGGTTGAAATTAATATCAGTCATTATGCATATCACTTATTGCATTCTTCAAGCAGGTAGGGTAAAATACCATGTGATGGACTAGTCCCCAGTGATGGGCCACAGCACATAAAAATTCCAAAAGCTAAGCCTCCGTAGCATCCCTACCCATTATGACAAAGGCCGGCAGCATGCAAGCACATGCACACTTCAGAGGTGTTCATGCTACAAATGTCTCCTTTTTTTTTCCTGCACCATGGCCCATCACTGAGTACATGTTCTTAACAGGCCCATCATTGGGTGTTCTACCCTATTTCAGCAGAAGCTTCAAATGCTGTATTTAAATGAAACATCTACAACAATGCTATGATGTTCTATTCAAAATCAAGCAATAATTTTTAAACTTACATGGCTGTATGAATTGATTGGCAGAGCAGAGAACATGAATTACATGTGACTGCATGCCTGGCAAGCAATTCAAAGTTTTAATTTAAAAATGCAATTCAAAAGACATGGGTATGCTTCTCTGATGGCAACAGCAAACAATTATGCAAAATGGAGAAGCCTCCTCAAGAGCCCCAAAATAAGGGAAATACATTCATGTGACTCTAATAGTTTTTGAGATATTGAAACATTTGTACTTAGGGATCTATGAAAAAGCATGTCTAGGTCAAAACTTTATAATCTTTATTAGTGAGACTGCATAACTGTGAGACACAAGTTCTTTATTCAAAGGGACAAACCTCCATGCCAAATTCCAGGAAAATCCATAAGATGTCTCCTTGGAATTTATTTACATTCTGGAAAATTGAGATGGAATGATTCTTAGAGATTGTGGCCTGGATGGATCATGTGCTTCATGAATTTTGGATCTTGTGTATCACTTTATTGCATTTCTCTGATAATAATATCAATAGAGAATGGTCTGTCTGTACATGAACCTGGATGCACATTTTCTTTTCAAAAGGTGACAACAAATAATTCTGAGCTTCTATGTCCATGATAACCTTTTTGGAATATTTATAATTTCATCATTTTGAATACAATATGCACATATGGTATAGAAAAATACTCACCTGAAGAATATTCATTTGCTTCAGACTTTTGTTAGCATCAATGTAATTGATTTCTTTAAGCTCAATGAGAGCTGAAAGAGCAACCAGGGCAACTTCTGATGGTTTGTGAACAAAGCACATGCATGCTGTCAGCCATTCTTCTATTCCCTCTTCTGCTTCATCCTCTTCATCATTACCACCTAAAACATCCAAGTACTGCTGTCAATACGATGTACATGGTGAATAAAAAGGCACCCCTGAAAAAATAAGTTTGGCAGTAAGCACAATGCTGCAAGTAGAAATTGTGTCATATCAATGGAGAGAGAACAGAATGGACTTCAGGATTTTCAATCATGTTGAACAAAATTAACTCTCCAGACAACAATTTCAAAATTTTTGTGATAAAAATACCTGCTGTCTACTTGCATGCAGGATTGAAGACACAGTCACCACTGCTGCATGCTTGAGTCAAGAAACTCAATTAAAGTTCATTCCATTTAGTCAAGACTATATTAGCGTTAACACTATTTTTCTCTCTTGTAAGTTTGACACTTTGGTGTGTCTTCTTGGCTGGAGGTAGAGCAATCCTTCAGATAATTTTTTCCAAATTTTGTCCTCTGTCTTGACCAGTTTTAATCACTCTTCATGTATTTATCAATCACTGTGCAAGGCTCTATCAGTTCAGCTTTCTTTCTAAACAACATGTAATCCAGTCATTCCTTCAACATGAATATGTTTTAATTATCAAATTTCGAAACACTTTCATGGAGAGCACTAACCCATTCAAGAATATGCAATGTAGGATGAGCAGTAACTGCTTCCAGTATGAGTGTAATTAGATTAACCCTGTGTCACATTCTGTCCATCATGCTGGATGTTTCATCTCTCTCATTGCATGAAATGTGTCATATTTTCTTCAAAATCTTCTACTTAAAAATAATAATACAAGTTTGAACTTGAATGAGATAAATGACCACTTCATAGTGATTTGTATTGAAGAAATCTGCTCCTGCTGATTTTCAAAATTTTCAAAATTGTTGAACATTAAATATATTAAGCTCCCCTTTACGATATAGGTATTATTCAAGCTGATGAATGATGAATCAGACAAGAAAACATAGCAAGGGGTGAGTACAATATCAACCATGTCAGACATGAAGCCTACAGTAATAATGAACACTAAATCTTATCTGTGGAACACATATCATTATAGGGAGACAGGATGGAGGAATGTTTGAAGCGTGAAGGCGGTGATGGTCTTATTGAATAGCTACAGCACATACATATCCCTGCCTTTCCACAGGATATGACAAGTATGCATTTTTCATTCCGTTCCTTTGACAACCGAGCTTCGAGTTTGTGGCATGCGTAGAATAAGACTTGACCACCGAATTCGTGCGAGGGATAAGTGTGACATCAAATAAACATGGTGTCAGCTCGCATCTCATGAATCGTAGTTGGCTATCTGAAGCATGTTCGCCGGTGCCGCTCCCCTATAACAATTTTCAGAGTTCTGTCAATCATTCTGAGCCACAACTTTCGAATTTCAAACAGCCACGCTTTGGATCAATAATAGGGGCGGATGCGGATTGGCTCGATGAGACAGACCCGAACGACGGATCGGGCGTGCGGCTTCGCTGATAACCAAGTTAGCGGTCGGTTGGGGGCAAATACTTCATCAGAGACCTCGAGTTATGAAGCTTAGAGCCCTAAGAGGGCTGCGGGCCGGCCTGATTGGACCAATAGTCCCCGCGGGTCGGGTAGGTAAAGCTTGAAACTCGATCGGCCGATCGAATTTTGGGTACGGTGGAGCCATGATTTGAATCGGACCGATCAGGTCGAAGGTCGGAAAAAAAAACACCAGCGAATTTGTTTTCACTGTCTGGTTTCTTATTGCCTTCCCTTCTACTAGAGTCCGAATACAAATTCCTTTTGGATGGAATGCTCACCCTCTATAGGGTGGGCCAAAAAAAAGTTCCACCTTTTTCATTCTGCTGTAACATTTTCGCTAAGTCAAGTGCCTACAATCTGTACCATTGTTTGGAATAGCTAAGCTACAATCAAATGCACTTTTTATTTTGAAAGTCAGTTAAGAAGTACTTGCACAGTGATGATTTTACGGTGAGAGGTGGAAAACTGCAGCTGCGTAACATAACCATAATTACCATTATAAACAAGCTAAAGGGTTTTGTTCAGAAGACGATTCGGAGGAGAGAGGCCCTTGCAGTCTAAATTTGCATAGACCCTATCGTTTTGCCTGTCTTTTGGAGCTCTTTCTTTTTCGTCTGTCTATCATTTTGCCAGGGAATGTTTTTTTTTTTGCGTGCAATGCTGGCCTCCACGTACACACACACGGGTGAGAGGGAGAATCCCCAGTTCGCGCACCGGCCGTTTTTCATTTCTCGCTGTAAAATCATCACTGTGCAAAAACTTCTGAACCGATTCTCACAAAATAAAGTGTGCTTGATTTTATTCTAAGCATTCTAAGCAATGACATGAGTTGCAGGCGCCTACCTTGATTAGTGAATACGTGACAGCTAAATGAAAAATGTGGAACTTTTTTTTTTTTTTACCCACCATGTACTCATCACATCCATGAAGGAAGTTCTCCCTTTTTAGCACATGCGGTCAGAATCGAGTTGGTTTGGTATATTACTATATATGAGACCGGAAATGTCATATATATCATAGGGTAAAGCACTCGGTGATAGATCACGTTAGAATCAAGCGGCTGAGATTTTCTGTGATGCCACAGTTTCAACACTGCCTACCACCGGATAGTGAGACCATATGACCAGTACTGAATAGAAGTTGTATTCATGTCCTAAATTGATACTGTCCTTAGCTATGTTTGACTGACTCAACCATGATCCATCACTGGATCCTTTACCCTGTGTCCATTTTACATAAAATCATGTATAACTTTTCTACATGGAAAGAGCATAGTTACTTAACCCCTTCACTACTTCAATATGTGGCATGCAGGAACAAGTTGTGTAAAATTCCGTCAAAAACATTTAAGGGGTTAAGGGAATTAACTTCTGCTTTACTATAGATATTCAGTCACATATGCACAGCTTAGAGGAAAAGGGGAACTCACCTGAAATGAGAAAGATGGGAAGAATTCGGCAAGCTGCTGAAAACACAGTTGACCATACTTCAAGATTTTCTCGCAGGTATTCATTTGGTTTCATTGGTCTATTAACCATGAGGCTCTCATTCAATTTTTTAATTGGTGTTCCATCCAGGAAGATGTGTGTTTGAAGGAAGGAGATAAAAAGGTTCTGATATTGGATACTTAATGCCAGAGATGGTGATTTTCCAATCCTCAACATAAGTTTTTCACACAACTTGATGATGGATAGCACATTATTGGGCTTAAGGTGAGTCAGGTTCTGAGTTCCAACAATAAGTACTGCTTCCAAGCAAGATGAGTCTCTGTCAGGGGAGATGAGGTCTACAAGGTAGGACACAAGACACACAATCTCACCCACACTTGCCACAGGATGTCCCACTGATTGAACTGTTTCAGGTTCCCATTCTTTGCACACACTAGTGGTTCTTAGCACCTCTGCACAGAATTCATAAAGGAAGGAAGGATCCAGAGAAGAGAAAAGCATGTTCACATTTTTCACCAATTCTTGCTCCTTTCCACCATCACCATTCCCATGACAAAAGGCTGACCTAAAAAAGGCAAAAAAGCATCACAATTTGATCAATAGTGGCAAGACTCCAAGTCTCTTTCATAGGGCCAATTCATGGTTAGGCAAGAAAGAGTTAAATATAGCTTCTCACAATAAACTGCAATAAGAAACAGGCATAAAATATTGAAAATCAGTTTCAATTTGTTTCTGCCTTTCTGTAATGGGCTTCAAATGCCAGAACTCAAAAATGTTCTCCTTTATCTCATTTGAGAATGGTGCCAACACATGGCTGGGAGAGTGGTGTAAGCCTGGTTGGTTATCTCTCTCGTGTTCTTTTTCTTTCTCTTCCAGAAGCATAGTTGTTCATGGAAAAACAAAGGGGTATGCCTAAAATAACCAAAATCATCTTTGCGCCTGCATACTTGCTATAACTGGATTTTACTTAGCTAGAATTTCCAGGGTGATGGAGAAAAAGAAAAACTGTCATGGCATTCCTTTTCATAATACAGGATGAAGCAAAAGTAACTTGTCCTGAACAATTTAGTGATATACTCTAAATAATTAATTTTGCTTCATTTCTTTACAGAGTGACTTTATAATGACTCATCATTTGACAAAAGACTAATGATTGTTTTGAAGCAATGGTGGAGAACAGAACATATATGTGCTGTTGCTGAATCCTTTAACATTCATTTCCTAGGTGGTCAGGGCAAGTTACTTTTGCACCACCTTGTATATCAAGAATTGCAGTTTACCAGATTCATTATTGTAATCTGGTTTCCATCCCACATCTCACAGTTCAAGTTTTTCCAATTATATCTACAAAATTTCACCCTCCTAGAGACAATTCTTGTAATGTTTCTAGATAGAAAATAACTAACCACTGTCCCAAAAGGGAAAAGTAAATAAATATTATTCCTACAACCAGAACACTCCTTAACAGCTTGTGGTCCTTTGGCAAGCTGGATTGGTCACAGTGTTATGAAAAAAATGAATTGTGATGGGTTAAAGGCAGAAATTCAAAACTACCAATAAGATAAGCTCATCATGTTCATGTTCTTTCATGTTCTAAAGTTCTTACACAACTATACCAATGTTTGAATCCCTGTGACTGGAGAAGTACCATTCCAAATGTATTAGGAGAAACAAAGCATAAGAGTAAGAATTGCTCCATGATTCACTTAGCCAGTTAGCACTTCCTCTCCTTGGGAGGGGGAAAAGGCAAAATTTTTAGTTACACATAACAATGAATTCTACAGAAAAAATGCAACTGATCATAGTTGTAAACCTGCCACCTGCTGAGGTTCCAGCAGGTGGCAGGTTTCAAATTGGCAGGCCTTTTCCAGCTGGATTACATGGGATGTTTTCTGAGGAGGGTAACCAGATTTCCATCTGGAAGGGGAGCCCTAGGTGGAAATTGCTGTATTCCTCCTGGAGTTCCAGTTGGATACAAAGTTATAACTGGAAAGCTGACATTTGCATCAGGAATTTCAAGAGAAACAGCACTATTCTTAGCTGCAACTTCATTACTGATTTGGATTTGAGGAGGGTTTTAGAAATGGATTTTGAAACCAGTAGCAGCTTTTTATAACTCCACAGCTGAATAATGTTTTAAAATTAATATGAAAAACTAATAACAATAATGTTAAGACCAAATAAATTATCCTCAATTTTTGTGCAATTTGACCATTAGTCATTTAAAATACTCAGTATGTCAGGGAAGTATATGATTGACTCATGCAGCAACTTGTGAACTGGTTCATACAAGTGCTCATAATTATTGTCATGCTTTTTCCATAGACTAATTTCTCTCTCTCTTAAATGCATCATAGCTATCACATGCACCTTGACAATATATCCTAAGAGGTAGTACAAATTCATTTGTAAAATCAGTCTATACAAAAATGTCTGCCTTTTAGACTTTCATGTAACCCTGTGATACATTAGAATTGTAGTGTATGGAAACTTCCACTAGGTTCAGTGACTCTCATATGTGATTTACCATCTTATTTAAATTTGTTGTACAAGGCATAGCTTCAGCAGAGTTAAAATTCCAGAAAGTCTTGACATTATCCATCAAATTATTCTGATGCCATTTGCAGACAGACTCCATACTAACATTTTCTATCCAAAAAGGGCATAATTTTCGTGCTATATATTCCCAACAAAAACATATCAGCTAAATTCCCAGAGGAAATATTTGCCTGCAGGAAAAATGCCTTAGTATATGACTGCATCTAATCGATCTTTCAGAGCTGGAATACTTCATTGGGGCTTCATTCCAGTCATCAGGACTAGATGGAATTTTCTGTTGTGAATTCAGTAATTTATAGGACTGAACAGGACAGGAGGATTCTTGCTTTAAACAATTCTGAACTTGCACTACACCTATGTGACTCACTTCAACTCTGGCAACCACAGCACACACTTGCCTTCTCTGGTGGCATCGCCATTTCACTTCCAACAAGTTGAAAAATATTTTTTAAATTTTACTTTAAAATGTGAAATGCATGTAATAAAACTGTAACTATCAAGCTTTCATTTCCTGCAAACCACATATACAGGGTGTCCCATATATCATTATACCCGTTCAAAATTTCACATCTACTAAACAGTTGGCACAAAATAGAAGTAACATTAACTGAACGATAGCATGTCATTTGGATTTTTTTTTGTCAAAAATGGAGGTATTTATGAAGTTTGAAAGTGCCTCCAAATGCCCTCTACCTATATCAATACATTTGGCATGAGGCTCACAACCAAAATATAGCTGAAACTCCCTTTATACTCAGATGGGACTCTCAAAGATCTCCCTCCAGGTAGCAACATCCCTTCATTGCTCAAGTATCAATTGTGAAGCCTTTCTTTATGACAGCAAAAGCAAATTAAACAAAATTATTTATTTGTTCTGTTTCTCAGGTCTGTCTGAAATTAGGAGATAAAAACATGAAGTTTATGAATTTTTGCAAAAGAGGATTGAACAAGGTGTACCATGAATTGCCCTAAAGATGTACACTTTCTGATGTGCTTTAGAAGTGATTTCTGTTTGAGTCTGATTCTAAGTCATTATTGTGAAAACAATTCTAGAGAACATTCTTTCCATCAATGCTAAGAAAGGTGACCTGGTTGTTGCAGTTTGGAAAATATTGCAGATTGAAATGGTGTAGTGACTTATGGAACATCCTGCATGTACGTTCATTTGTTCATGACTTACTAAATATTAAAGTTGCATGAATCTTTTATGGACACCTGCATTTTTATAACTTTTCAAGGAAGAAGAAAGGTTTATGACAACTTGTGCAGCAGCAGCAAACTCTTGGTTGCTTTCTGGTCTCATCAGACTTCTAATACCCATTCATGAATGGGCATGAGGTTTAGTGCTTGTGCAGTATGATCTTGACAGTCACAGCAGTAGCTTAACAATATTAAGATCCAAGAAAGTACACAGAGAAGCCTTTATTTGTGTGATGTGGATATATGAGGGAGTTATTGAGAGAGAAGAGGAGGGCTTACCTCAGTATGTCCAACATGATATGATCCATGATCAGTGGGGATATCACAGAATTTTCTAAAATGAAAGAAAGCATTTTATATGCCTTGGAAGGTGGAGCATGTTTTCCAATATCATTGGCTTCCTTCAGGCCCTTCAACCAGTCTTGAATTCCTTTCACCACCAATGGCAGAGAGTACTTAATAAACTGCTCCTTAGAAGTCTCTTCAGTGAGAAGCCATGAATACAGTCTCCTGGAATATAAAAAAAAATTGTGCAACTCCATCACACTTGACAATACAACAATGACCAGCTGACCTCAAACTCTGATACACAAGTCATGGCTGACCAAAAATGACTCTTGGACAATGATCACAGTGTTTGTGTGCCCACACCTGGGCTTTTCTTCACATAAAGACAATTTTCATTTCTCCTTATGAGCATTTTGACACAGGTATAGTAGATAGAAAAAAATCCTTTAGCATAGGATAAACATTCAGTGGTTTTTAAAAAGTTGACTTGTTTTGCAGGACCTAAGCTTACAATCATATCATTCTTTCTCAATTCTCTGCCCAATTCCCTTCTGTTCGCCACAGCACTACTGAAGAAAGAACCATCCTTTTTTGGATTGCCCATTCCACAGCATGGTGCCACTTTAATATGTTGTACAATCAAAACTTCAACACCAGTGATGTCCAACATTTTGGAAGTCCTTTACAATGAGGTCATTCTCCTGGGCAAGGGTAAATATGGCATTCACATGCAAGAGTATAAAAAGGCACCAGAGTAAAAAAAAATTGTGTTCATGCAAGTAGGAACATGTATCACATTTGCTTTCCACTTGGTGTTTAATTTTTGAATACCCTAATTTGTGCTTAATTGGAACCATGAATATTGTGAAAGCGAAACCAAAATAAAATGAAGAGCTTTACAGCAACCATAGCATCATAGGCATATAAGAATCACCCTGTCTGTCACGACTTCACCTGTTTATCAAAGTGTTGAAGTAGATTGCCAAGAATGGGTTACAGCCAGTTTTCCAAGCATAAACATAGGGAGAAGTGTATCACAAGCTAAGAGAACTATTTCAAAGGGGATCATACTAAAACCTAACTTCTGTATAGTATGCAGCAAAAAAATGGCTACACTCATGTCAGGATTTACCTCATCAAGAACTAAAACAAGGAAAGATTTTGCAAAAAATGTATTTAATAATAAATAGTTTATTTAACATCTGACAATATATTTTACTCAATATGGGCATCATCAACCCTGAACACAACCTCCAAATGGCCTCTGAAGGTTGGGCACATCTTGATGATTTAGTCCTTCTTCATGTTGGACCAGGCCTTCATGATGGAGGACTTCAGGGCTGCCACAGATGAGTAGGGTCTGTTGCAGGCAGCCTCCTCTACAAACGCCCACATGCCACACGTCCAGGGGATTGGTAGTTGGACTTGATCCATGGCTTGACAGACTTTTCCATGTCCACTTTAGTGTTGACCTTGAGGCGCTGTTCAATGAAGACAGGGGGCATTTTCTTACCATCTGAGGCCACAAGCCCAAAGACCATCGCAGAGGCCAGATGCTTGGTCTTGAAGGTGAACCTGATGTGCTCAGGGATGTCCTCAGGCTTCTGGTTGCTGATGTAGCGGTCATGGCAGTTGTTGGAGGCACAGTCGATGCAAAAGAGTGTCTCATCTGTGAAGAAAATCACTGGTTTGCTCTTTTTAAAGATCTGGAGGAGCTTCTGGCTTCTTGCTACTCTCTTGGCCTTGGATGTCTCATTTAGGAGCTGCCTCTTTCCCCTGGCCCTTGACTTGGCTCCCAAGTCCTCATAGACAATCCTCCTGACTGTCCTTTCACTCATGTTCATCTCCTTGGCCATCCTCTTCATGGAGCAGTTGGGGTTGTGCTGGATTTTTCCTTTTATTGCTCTGATCATCGCTGGAGTCCTTACTGAACATGGCTTTCCACTTCCAGGCTTCCTCTTGACACTGCTCATGGCCTTAAACTTGTTGTGGACCTTTTTCACACAGTGACCTTGTGGATGTTCAGGGGTTTGGCGATCTTGGTGGGGGTCTTCCCAGTGTGTATTAAATTGATGATGGCCTCTCTTTTGAAATCCATTGTGACTAAATGTAAACAAATCTCAAAATCTCTGAACTATTTATAAATAATCACCCAACCTCTACTTTAAAAAAAAATTATTGTGGCCCAGTTCCACTTCTGGATGAAGTTATAAATCTGGACATGAGTGTAGCCATTTTTTTGCCACATAATATACATGGTTTTCTTGTGTGAAGGCTGGTCTTGGAAATTTTTGAGGCTCACACACATAGTTTGAAAGCTTATGATCTGGAGGTGTGCACTATGCAATCAAATTTGAATTATCTTCAACCAAGGATGAGTTATAAGCTATAAAAATTTTCACCACTATGCTACCCCCAATTCCTCCATTAGTGAATACAACTTGTACATGTGCTTATGTGTTTATTTATGTGAGTTCAAAGTGTTGCAAAATATCAAGCATGTCGTGAGTGTGAAAGTAATGAATAGGGAATGTCACGACTATGCTGCTTGTGTCTGTGAAATGCTGCTAATCACCATTGCATTTTGAATTGAAAATATTTAACTTTTTTTTAAATGTACTTTTTTAATTAATAATATTTTTTGTGTTCCTCAAGAAAAATCAAAAGACAAAATGTATAAAGCTACTGCTCTATGGTTGAGTTCAAAACATTTTTCTTCCGACCATACACCTTCAGAATATTCAGTATTTGTGGTAAAATCTGCAAACTGCTACATTGTCCCTTCATGCAAGTTACATAGGGCTTCGCTAGTTCATTTATACTCTTTCAGTGCTCATCAATGCTCTTTCAATGCTTAGTGTACATGACCATAGTACCCCCTGTGGACATGCACCATCTGGTAAAGGGGGCATGAAAATAAAATGTTTCAAGCCCATCAACCTCTCCATCAAATATCAGGTATATGAAACATTCCACTCAAATGTATTGGCTATGATGACCCAATGAAGTTGAATGGTTTCTTTGTATAAACCCTGTATATAATATTTAAAAAATTTGAATTTGAAGCACAAGGCTTCATCATTTTTTGATTATCTAACCTGTTAAGATTGATATCTCTGCTGAGGAGAACAGACAAGGCAGCTGATACTAGATGAATGAGATCTTCTGTTGTAAGCTGTTTCTCATGGAGGGGGAATAAAGCAATGAGGACATCCAGTGCAGAACGTTGGACAAAAGGACTACTGTCTTCCAAACATCCTTCCAAGGCTAAAACCTGCAACAATCAATATATTTTATTGGAAAATTGCAGAGAAACAAAATATTTAAGCTAATGAAAAAATTTAAGAAGATTAAGGAAATAAAAGCATTCTACACTGTGATTCATAAAATCGGGACCCCCTAAATATTTTATTAGAACTCATATTTATTAGTCCATTTACATGAACTTATGAATGATTGTAGTTCAAAAACAAATAATCATAATGACAGTCACTTTTCACAGCTCTTTTAGTGATCTCTTCGCTCCATAATGTTTGCTCTGTCTTAAACATTTGATAACATGCTTGTCTTCTTCATTGAATGCCACTTTTTTGGGTATGCTGCAACAGATTTATAATGACATTATTATTAGTCATCATCATCATCATAGACTAAAAGTGAACTTTAATTTTCAAACAATTTTCATAAATACATAGCTTCTTTATTAGGCTTGTTATATTTAAAATTTCATGCAAATGGACTAATAAATATAAGGGTTATAATAAAATATTTATGGAGTCCTGATTTTATGAATTACTGCATATAAATGCAGAGAGTGAAAGAGATCTGAAAATGCCTCTAGGCAAAATGCATTTGGTAACCAGGACAATGAAAACAGGCATGTTTCCTTCTTTGACACCAGTCAAAATAGATCACCCTCCTTCTTTTCTCTACCTCTTTAAAGTTTTAGCCATAGGAAAAAAGAAATCTGACCCACTTAGTTTTGTGGTTTCAATGGGGCCTAGAGACACAAGCTTCTTGGTTCTAAAAAAAATTATATAAATTAAATTACTTAAAAAGTAAATAAAACCCTACATTAATCCTGCAGTCAATCAAATCCCTTGGATCCACTGTAGATGCGTATAGAGTAAACAAAGTATTGGATAGCTTTCATTGCTGTGGTAGAGGTAGGCCTTTTCTTTTAATTTCATTTGCTGGGCTAGGACAATTTTTTCTGAAACTCTGGTGTTTCAAAATGGAATCTTCAAATATGAAAGGGCTAAGAACTCTTAAAAATAGTCAAGTGAAAAAATTATTTTTAAAAACTCAGTTACTATTATCTTCAATATGATATATAGAATGATTTATAATAAAAAAAACAGCCCTATCATTTTGAATGGAAAAAAGATGTCCTCAAGTATGTGACCAACAATGATGAGTAATCAATATTGGAAGGCTACATGGTGCTGGTATAAGAAATAGGTCTTCATCAGAACCCTTGTCTCAGCCATACAATGCCCAGTTATGCAATTTAACAGGTTGATCACTTCAACTCAAAGTGTGCCAATGGTCTGTTCTTGATCAACTATAAAGTCCCATAGACAGATTATGCTGAGAATAGTCCACAACCAAACTCAAAGGTCTGTAGAAGAGATGCACTGATCCAGGATTAGCCAATACTGATCCTGACTCTGATTCCAGTGTCTTGGTATTGGCTGATACCTATACCTTCCAATGGCTCTCAGAAGTGAAACCACAACATAGGGCCAGGCTTAAAATTGCTACCTTAGTAGGCCCTATGCTATTTTTGACACAGAAGGGAAAAAATAATAAGCCCTCATTTAATGACCCAGCACTCAAAAATTGTGCCATTTCACATTTAGCTCTACAGATATTTACCTCAGACAATATGTCAACCTCTTCAGTATAGGCTTAAACTTCCCCTTTCATCCACCTGGGCCTGCCCAAGAACCTATAGCAGGGGCTCCCAAACCCTGGGTCGCGACCCAGGGTTTGGATGTTGAATTTTGAGTCATGACCAAAAAAATTTGGGAACCACTGACCTATAAGACGTAGGTACTACATCCAAAAGACAATGGGTGCAGAAAGGAGTGGACATACAGTAAAAACTCATTAACTCGAACTTATTGGGACTAGGCAAATCATTTTGAGTTATCCAATGTTTGACTTATCAGAAATTGCCTCTACCCATAAAAAAATAATAAATTACTCACATTAAGTGATATAATAGAGCAATTTTTCCATCCTCAAGTGTCTGATTTCAAGAAGCAACGACCTTCTCATTATAACTGGCTACTATTGGGGCTGTACCGGTGTATTGGCTACCACTGGTATTGGCCACCAATGCTGCACTATCAGTGCTATCGGCTGGTTTGCAAGCTGTCAGTGCTCATGTTTAAAGGAGAGGCTAAACTTACAGGTAAAACCTACAGGGAAAAAATAGAATGAACATGTGAATCTGAAAAATATTGATAGGATTATACAGGGTGAGCAAAAAAAAAAAACAAATAAGAAGATAGAACTATTACATCCACTGTTGTCCAATGGTAGTTACGACTAGATGTATATTTACATCTGTCAGATTGAAAGTGTCAAAGAAAGACTTGAAGGTAAAAATTTGCTGACTTACAGTGACATTGACATTTGCCCCAAGGATGAACAGTTGATCCTCAAGGGTCATCTTTGGATTATGGTGATTCAGAACGTATACAAGGGCATGATGTCGCACTCCAGGATTCTCCAATACCATCTTCCAAAGGGATGTGTAGAATGCCCTTGATCCAGTTTTGTCATGTATTCCATCCAGCAAGGACAAAGTTCTGAAAGACCAGATTAATTTTTTAATATCTTGGAACCTGAAGGTAACTTTTTACCTGGAAAAAAAATTGGCAATGCAAAGCAATACATGGAGGGTGGTGATGGTGTCACACCCAATCACATGAAACCAAATTTCATCATGCAATGGAAAACAGTGTATTGCTTTGAGTGTACCACTTCCTAGTGGAGAAGGAGTGAGGTAGTCTACCATTCCAATGAATTAGCCTCTCCATGACTCATCCCAAAAGAGTTGCAACATTTACTATGAGGTCTTTCTCTCTAGCCTCTTACTGGATGTTTCATTTGCCATATTATAGCTTATTCCCGGAAATTTATTTTAATAAACTATGAATACCATATGGTAAATGGCAAACAGAAAAAAAAAGGGTTGCCCTTTAAATAATAGTACTGAGTAATCTTATTAGTCTTGTCTTATTGTCCTATCTTAGTAGTCCAGATCCTGGTTAACCTGTAATTTTCCACCATAATCCTCCTAATACAAAATAGTATCCCTCATGATGTAATCATGTATCAAATGCATCTTGCATGCCATTCTCCATCATGAGCGAAAGCTCCTTTTTTTTTATAGCTGCTTTGAGTTCCATATGATCTGAGTTGGTGTCCTCTCCGTTTGCTCTTGTTTGGGAAAGAACCATTAGCCACAGGGGAAAAGGTCAAGAGAATAAGCAGATGTGGTAGGGTTACAGCATCAATTGCATATATACAGGGTGACACAAAAGTTCTGTACACTTTAAAAAACAGTTGCTGATTCTGAGCTAACATGTTAGAAAATGTTTGGTTTGGTTATATATAAAGCTTAAGGTATGAGGTACTTAGTTTCATCAGCACTTTGTGAACCCCTATGGGTTTTGTCATGTCATTGTCCAATGAAGATTGTCAGTCTGCTGTTATCAGTTTGTATGAAGCCAGGAAGTCTCCTTCTGAGATATTCCAGCTACTCCAGAACAACTGTAACTTCATCAAATGTACTATCAAGCTGTACCTTGAGACAAACTCTACCGAGGACCGTCATCAATCAGGTCAAACAAAGTCTGTATCAACCACTGTTAACATCAAAAGAGTTCAATCTCGACTTTGTTGAAATCCGAAGCAATCACTGAGAAGAATGGCCCAAACAACGAAGATAAATCACTAATCGCTCCAGCAAATGGTCAAGAACAAGTTGAATCTCCAGTCTTTCAAGTCCCATGATGCTCAATTTCTCACTGAACAAGCAAAGAGGACTAGGCTGCAATGATCGCAGTCACTGCTCTGTCAGTTCGCAAATGGCAGCCATCGCAATATCCTCTTTTCTGACAAGAAGCTCTTCACAAATGAGCAATCCTTTAACTCTCAAAACGACAGAGTGTGAGGAGCAGAGTCAACAGGCAGCTCTCCAGACCTCTGTCTTGTTACTCACACTCAGATGTCAGCTTCTGTGATGTTGTGGGCTGGTATCACAGCAGAGAGGAGCACGCCACTGGTTTTCGTGCCTTCTGGTATAATGATCAACACAACTGTCCACAGTGACCTCATTCTGAAGGGTACAGTAAAGCCTGGGGACAAACAGCACTTTGGGAACTGCAAATGGACTTTTTAACAGGACTCTGCACCAGCCCACAAGGCAAAGATCACTCAGGCCTTCTGCAAAGAAGAATTCCCTGACTTCATCACCTTGGCAAAAAGACCTCTGTATAGTCTTTACTTGAACTCGTTGGACTTTTCTCTGTGGAGCATCTTGGAGAACAAAGCCTGTGCTACTCCACATGCATCAGTACAGTCCCTGGAACATGCCCTTCAAACACACATTGGATGTGAATACTCTGCAAATTTCCTGTTGATAGCTTGTATGGTATTCTGAACCACTGCAATACCATTTTTTCACAGGGCAAAACTGCAATTATTTCTTTAAAGTGAACTGCTTCATGGTAACAAAATTCACAGTCAAATCATTTATTTGTTTATATTTTGCCTACTCCCCTTCTGTTTGCCACTGCACCACAGAAGAAAGAACACAGTTTTCTTTGTATTGCCCATTCCCCAGCATTGCATCATTTTAACCCTTCCATGTCCAATTAACTTTCAAACCTTGCCAACATTTTTTAATTTAACACCTATTTCAACTTTATCCCAGTAATACAGTCTATCTGAAGACTTGTTCACAATGTATTAAATTGCATACCTGTTGGCATCTAGAGCAGATCAAGAAGAGGGAATCTTGAAGGTTTTGAAATTTGAAGAGAGTATAACTTTCAGATATTCTTATCCCAGCTATATTTTCAAGGTTTTTGCAAGTTAGATTATAGAAAGTAGCATAGAAATGTTGAGCAGCATTCAGTGAGGAGTTCATGATGGATTGCTATTAAACTTTTGAAGCTGCATGATTGCAATTTAATTAGGATAAATTTGTTGATGAATAAAATGTAAATTAAATATGACTTTAAAAAAAATTTCCAAGGCATGGATGCATATCCCATGTCTTCTTGAATCCACGACACTAGAGAGAATAATCTCCCCATGGCTAAAGCATAACTTGGGCATGAGAGGGTTTATATATTCTTGTATTAAACTTTAAATTCAGTGTATGTTTGGTGTTTTGGAAGTGTCTTGGAATGGGCTCATGCTCCTGGGCAACACATTGCACATAGCACAACATTGGAATGCACCAAGCCATGGTGTCTGGAATCATGGGGAGCAATAAATGAGTTAGCAGCCAAAGAATTTATCAGCTTAATGGTTAAGGGGTTAGTAAAACACACTGAGGATCATGAAAAAGCCTTGACAATCCACAGACTAACCTGTTAAAAAATTCTGAGTTTTCATCCATCCCAGCAAAGAGCCCTGGAAGAAGTCCACTCAGGCAGGCAGTTAATTCCTCACCCAGCATGAGGAAATGTTTTTCATAGATCCTGAGTAGAACTGGGCGAACTTTCATGTTTGCATGCCCAAATAAAGGGAAAAGCCCTGAAATGAAACACAAAAATGAAAATATTATTGCAGAATCTAAGGAACATTGTTGCAACAGCACATAGCATAGGAGCAAATGGAAGGAAGAAGGTAGTCTTCTGTCCAGCTCCTTCACCAGGTTGGAAGAGCTTTAACAACCTTGCCTGTGTAGGAGGATAATATTATGCCTGAGATTTCCTGTTCAGTTTTCAGATTTTAATAAGTACAAACATTTCTCTTTGATATAACAAACTATTTTTGGATCATGTGTCAATAAACTTGAGAAAAACATACAGGTATGTTTCAAAATGGGAATGGGCATTTTTTCAGAAAAAAAAAGTAGTAGGATTTGCATTGAAAATTAGCTAAGAAATAATAAAAAATAGCTAAGAGACTAAATCATGGCATTTACTATTTTAAAAAAAGTCTGAACCACTGTTACCACTCTTTCAGCATGACTGTATGTCAAACTATCACACTTCAACTCATTGAGGGAAAATCATCTACTGAGGATGTACCTAGGAATTGGGGATAAATAATTGTTTCTAATAGTTACAGTTGCAAGGGTCGTGAGTCCCTCTTCACCAGAATATGCAGGGCAGTATTCATATTGGCAATATTGGGCTATAATTAACAGTTGTTGCTTTGAAAACGGATGGCAGTATCTCCTTTGGTAACTTTTAGCCTGTTATGAAAAGTTTTTTTTTTTCTCCAGCATTTGGAGCTGTAATATTAATAACTTTCCTCATCAAGATGCACAAATGCATAGGGAATTTTTTTTTACAAATAATAATTATTTTATTATGCAAAGAAAAACACATGGACATTGACACTGATTCTTCCCATCGATAAGTTCTCTCCTTAGACATCTGATCAAGTATATTTGTGCATGGCGATACCACACAAAGCATTTCTGATGGGTGATTTGGGCATGTTCTGTCAGATTCAAGAAAGGCAAACATGCCAGCAGAAACTTCCAGTGAACGTTAAGAAAGTCGTCTGGGATTGAGGCTCGTTCATGGAGTCTAGCATTGTCTAAGATTACAAACTGGAACTAAATATTCAAAATCGGCTGCTCCTTTTTGAGTCCTCCACGTAGGTTCATGTTCGTTTCCATGCTTGGAATAATCTTTTACTGCGAAGGAACAACAGGAACGTGTCACATCGTTGTCGTTCCAGGAGTTCTTTGAGGAGCTCCTGAGACATGTACACATGATTTCACTACCAGACCAACCAGTTTATGTCATCATGGATAATGCTAGACCCCACAAACAAGCCTCGGTTCGAGATGACTTTCCTTACGTTCATGTGAAGTTTCTGCCAACATGTTTTCCTTTCTTGAATCCAACAGAACATGCCCATTCTGCATTTAAGGCAGCTGTCAAACATGAGGTGCATTTTCCTGAAACACTGGTAGAACTTGGATGACGAGGACCAGAACAAAACTTGCAGCAAAGTCGGACAGAGAAACAGCTCGAAATAGGAGAGGCATCAGTTGGGCAAATAGAAGAAAATAGAATTTCTTTGTGTGGTTTTGCCATACACTAATGTACTTGATTAGATGCCAAAAGAAGAGAACATATCGATAGATAGAATCAATGTCAATGTCCATGTGTTTTCCTTTGCATAATAAAATAATGGTCATTCACCGAAAATACCCTATGCGTTTGTGCCCTTTCCTTCCCTATTCCTCATTCCCATTTTAACTACCAGAGAAGAGATATTCCCTTGTGCTCCCAAAATTGAAACAGCAAATGCCAAAATCAAAAGTCACCTGCTGAAATTGAATGGGAACTGGGAGGAGAGAGGAGCACTGCTGAAATTGAAGGTACTTTTGCTTAAATTCGTCAGGAAAACCTATATTAGTATAGGTAAGCCTTTCTATTTCAGTGCTGCCCACACAAGGTTGGTCACTTTGAGATGCATCCCCTGGCTCAAAATGTTTGAGTACCACTGGTCTAGAACTTCCAATGGCACAAAATTAATTTTTTCTTTACCAATACAGTAGTATACAATTCATCTACAATGACCCCTCAGTACCCCTCTCCAAAGAGTTTTAGGTTTTTTTGCCAGTGAACCCTGAAAGATATAATTATCTTAACCGAGAATAGGAAAATCAGAGTGAAAAAAACTGAAGAATACAGAACTTTTTTTTTCCTGTAGTTGCTCTCAGGTGTTGCAATCTAGTGACTAATTCCTGCAAAGTTTTGTTTCCCAAATATCTTAAATGCATCATGCTATGAGTATGATCTCAGAGGGTATTTAAATTGCTGGCAATAGACATTGGTGAAGAATCAGGTTGAGACCCCTGATGGAAATTATACCAGCAGAGAAGAGCAGGAAATCCTTGAGAAGTCCATGTCGACCAATTGTTCGAAAGATAATATCGTAGGTTTCCAAGGCTTTCAGATGAACACCACTGGGCAGTGATGGGTGAAGACACTGGGCTAGTCGCTTGCATACAAGATTGACTCGAGGAACCACACCAGTTTTCCCATGCTGGATGATCACCTATAACAGAAATGTGTTGGATTCCAATATTAGTATGACATTTTGCTAACAAAGAGCAGAGGAGCCTTTGATACAGTATGAAAAAAAAACCTTGTTTAATGTTTCAGATCAAAGTGATAACAATCAAGTCCTGCAGAGCCTTTGCTGAGGGCTTCATCATCAGACTCAAAACATTATTGTCTCACTGCTGACTATGGACAGCATTAAAGGTGTACTCTTGGGAAGTACAGCTCATGTAGAATGAAAGCATTGATTGCTGCTTCTGAAGCAACTTTTACTTAGTGGTATTACACTCATGTTGGATTTTTGGGGAAGAAGTAAGCAATCAGCATGACACCATTTCCTTGTGTCTTTGAGTCTGTCTCCTTTAAAGATGCGACATTGATTCCAATGGGTCATAAGTCCTACTATGTGATTTTCTATTTTTCATCAGAAGGATAAAAAATTGAGGGAGAGCTGAAACTACCAGCAAGATATCTGTGAACCTGTCCTGTTTTAGATATTTTCTAGCTAAAACCCTAAAATGACTGACAAGAATGTGCACCTCATTGATTAATGTATTTTTCCTACAGGTGCAACCTGCCTGGAATCTCCTCAATTTCCAAACCAAAGCTTAGTATTTGATTCCCACAAAAAATGAAACAGGGACTTAGCAGAAATCCTGTGTATCCCTTGGAAGAGTCTAATATTGTCTTTCTGACTGGTTCAGAGACAAAAAAAATCAATTGCATCTTGGTGTAGTAGAGTGTGAAGTTATTTCCACTCTACTACACCAAGATGCAATTTCCTACTCTGACTTAATCTTTATCCAGCATCCATTAAAGATGCTTGTCTGATGTGTAGGTATTACAGCACAAATCACTTTCACTTTGGCTTCCAAGATGAATATGCACTAATTCCTCATCAGTTTTAAGCCTGAATGTCATGAGGAGGGTTTAATGTGATGTTCAGCTTGAGGTCCCTCTTATATTTGACCATCTCCAGATTAGTTACCTTTAAAATTTCCCTCTTTTTTTCATGTCAGACATGCAAGGCCTCTAATCAAAGAAAATTCAAGCTTTCTCTAAAGTCAAAATTCTAATTCTAAGCAAAATGATAGAATCTTGACATTACTTTTTCAAAGCTTCAGTGGCAAAACAATAAATACATCATAAAAAAAGACAGCCAAAAAGCAAAAATTGTGAATTGAAATTTTCCTAGAGCAAGTTTAACCCTTTGCAATCCTTTGTCCCACTAGGTGAGCCCTTGGTCATAACATTCTAAAAAAAATGGACCACAAAGGGTTCACCTAATAAATCTCAAAAAAAGATTGTCTCAAGGAGATGGTATTCACTAGTTGCCATACTAAACCATATGCCTAATTGAACCAAAATAAGATCTGATTGGGGTGGAAGGCTTGAGAAGAGGTTTAGTCAAAGTAAATAGGTTTCCTTGCCTCTTGATCAAACAATCACTCTCTCATGCTAGCACAAACAAAAATTGACTCACTCTGTTCAGTTTTCCAAGTGCAGATATAACATCAGGCCAATCACTGGTACCTTCAAAAAGTCTCAAGCTTTTCTCCACAGCAGAAACATATGTTTTATACTTTGTTTTGGATGATTCCTCTTCATCAACATTAGTAGACATCATAAGAAATCAAAAAAACTCAAATAATAGCATCTTCATTAACCTGCCAACAGATAGAATAGAGTAAATGCATTTTTTCAAGTCTTGGTAGAAGAATTCCTCAAAAAAGAGATGCAGTTGACTTTTTCATTACTCACAGCTGAATAAGAAAGGAACAAAATACAGCCACAATAAAAAGGAGATTAGCTTATAACTATGCATAGACCTAGGGTAGGTAAGAAATAGATACAAATGCTTTCCTCAGAAGGAAATGGTCCACAAAGATGAATAAAGGAAGAAGTAATAAATGCAAATTTTGGATTCTCCCCTAGTTTATTGATCTGCAAACCAGGCAAATAACATGTCTCCAGTCCTACAACCTATATCCTGCATGATACTAATTCCTCTCTCAAAATAAAAACAGTGATAATCCCAGAGAGATATTAGAGCAAATGGAATAAAAGGAAGAGGGGAACTGTCAAAATGACAGTACCATGAAGATGATACTGCAGATTTGCAACTATAAAGAGCACCAAATGAGAGGAAATTCATCTGAAATAGTAGAAGAACCTTTGGCTGAACCAGGTCTTTTGAATCATGGAATTTATTTAGATATATGGAGTTGAAATCAGCACCTCAACATTAAAAGTCCTTACATAGGTGGGAAAATTAAGTGGACAGAAAAAGATATGAACCTACTGTTAATAATGCAAGACAGGAAGCAGCACCAAAGAATGAGATGGGAATGGGCACCTTTCAGCAGGGGAGAGAGGATGGCCCAAAAAAAAGGAAGTTACTATGAACCAAACTAGAATCTTTCCCCAGCTCCTCAGGAAAGACCAGACATGAGATATTCCAATCCATAGCAAAGAGAGCACCAAGGCAGACAATCACTTAGTCCTTATAGATATCTCCAAACTACAAATGGACATTCAGTTTCTCCTTTTGCCAAAGCTAGGTCCCCAACCCTTTCCCACTTCCAGAAAGTAAGAAAGATGTTTTATCTTTACACTATTTGGATGTGACCTTGAATGGGATACCCTAAACAGAATCCTCTTTACCCTTCAATACTCTAGTGGTCAAATTTGACATTTATTCTTATAAATGGCAGGAGACCTTCGTGAAAAGGTACCTTCTATTCAATGCCTTCTGAATGCATTTCTGAGCAAGTATGAACTGAACATATTCCCTGCAGAGTGACCCACTGGTGGGTCGCTCCCAGGGTTGGGCTGGCCCACCAAGATACTGGAAAATTTCCCAGGGGGCCCCCAGACCAAAGGGTCCCCACAACTGGTGTAGTCTGCATTATGGGGGGAGAGAGAGAGGTGCAGGGGCTCTTTATTGGCAATTTCCCAGGGGTCCCCTAGGTCGCCAGTCCAACCCTGGTCACTCCAAAAGTAATTTATCATAGTCAGTTTTACTGCTACAAGGAACATATTAAAACATTTTTTTTTGCATCTGTCCTCCACATTAAAGGAGACCATCATAATTTCCAGTCAGATAATTCAAAAAATAAAATGCCAATAAGTTCCCTGTTAGAACCACTGGGTGCACAGACAGAAGAGAGGGTAGAGGGCATATTTAGTTATATCTTTACACATGGGTTCCAACTTTTTGCAGGATTCCTACCCTTCCTGAATCTGAAGCTCGGTCATTCATATCAGTCATCAACAACTCATATATAATAACTGCCTGATACTCTCGATTTCACTAATAATTAATAAAATATTGCTGCCTCATTATTTCTTTTCTTCCAATTTCTGAACATATTATGCATGCCAAATTCTCATAAAGCTCATATCATGCTGTTCTATTTTTATTCATTTTGCCTGATTGTGAGTGAAAATGCAATAGGAGGTGCAATCCTCGGAGTTAAACTCTATATTGCATGTCAACAAGGAGATAGGAGGTCCTGAAGTAATAGGTTGGCTTAGTCTTCCCTGTCCGGTATGTGCAGGGCCCAATTTTTTCTGGAATCTTTACTGAATATTAATCATGCCACATGAGACAGAAATGACAGGCTCCAGATCATAATTTTCCTTGAAATAGTGCCTAATACTAGGCCTAGGCATTATCTAAGGACCTGCTACTTTTATTCAGATAGACCCAAGCCTAGGTCTAGGTCTAAGACCAGGCCATTATAGACCTGACTAAGGCCTGGGCCTGGGCTTGAATTGAGTACACTCAATCGAATTGTCAACAGAGACTCAAATGTAAGAAAAAACAAAGCTGAATGGTTCTAACTTCAGTTCATAAAACAAATTACTTCTGAGAATGGGAATCATTGTGAGGCATTGCCAGTGATAAAAGCCAACATAAACGGCATTCCCATTATCTTTTTGCAATGTGGGAACGGCGTTCCCACAAACTTTTAGAAATAAAACACAACATCCTTGTGCACACTACACTACACTACTTGCAGGAACGTATTGACAAATTTGCAGTGGTTATATCCAGCTACACCCAAGAGTGTTATAACTACTTAACCCTTAATGTCCCTTCAACCTACCCCTCGACAGAGAGCATGAGCTGACTGCTTCATGACTTAGGACTCGCGTATTAATACCGAACTGAGTTCTCCACAGCTCGCCCCTCTAAACGTTGAAAATGAAAGGAGTGGGTTGTGATAGGGAAGCACTTCAAAAAATATTTTCGCACGTAGGGGATGTGCTTCAGGAAGTGAGATTTTTCGAAATGTTGAAACTCCCGCAGTCATAGATTCCTTGGGTAAGGCTCTTGCATCCAGCTGGCCATGAGATGCGCCATATACTTTCCAGATTACGTCACCATCAGCTGGATACAATCTGATTGGTCGTCCTGAACCCAGAATGAGTCGTCTGCTCCAGGTGCAAGCAGAACCTCGGGAATGGCTGGATCTTGCCGACCTTTAAAAATAGAAAACAAAACTGGACTGTGCGTATACTATCGTTATGATGCGCTCCCTGTGCAGCCTTTTCAGTTTCTTGAAACAATAATATTCGTTTATTTCGTGTTTTCCTGCTGGATCTAAGTCTGCAATGCACGGAGAGGGGGGGATCGATCGAGAAATGTCTCCATGTTTTTAATACTGACTTTCGGAAAACCGACGGAACGGGAGGATGAAAACATGAAACACTGTTTCCGGATTGAATTCGTACCACCCCCCTGTAGTGGAGGATGGAGAAAACACACATTTCCAGACGTTCCGCTTCGCCAGATGATAGACGTAACTACCCACGTGTCCTACCTGCAATCGATATAAGCGCTCCTATAGGAGGGACGAATTTAATCCGGAAACAGTGTATATAAACTCTGAACAAAGTGAATCTCTCACTTGAGCCTGAGGATGCTATTTCTTCGTTGTTGCTTTGAGATTCGCATACCGGCTAAGTTCATTCATACGTAGTTCATGTCGTGTTCTTATTTTTAGGCAACTCATTCTTCAATTGGAAGTTGTCTGAAGTTAATGTAAAAATATACTGTAGGTCCTTATTTGCCATTGAGGTGCTGTAGTTTGATGTGATACCTACGTCGTGTTTCGTAAGGAAGCTCGATAATCTTTGCGTAGCTGGCAATTTAGAAAAATTGGTTTCTTTTGAACTTTAAAATTTGCACGCTCATGCAAAACAAAACCCAGGCAACAAAACTTTATCATAGTCATTTAGTAAGCAATCGAATAAGATTGCAGCGTCCAGTCCCTGGGTTTCAATCTATCTGCTACCAATGACCATGAACCATAAGCTAAGACCTCGTTTTAATCTCTTAAAAAATGAGTTAGAACTTCGCATTTTCACCAATCCTTCGCTGTCCTTTCTCATTTTAACTTCCTTAAACTTTGCCCATACCTGCAAGCTATTTGCAATAATTCGAACTTTGGTCTCTGTTCCGTGCTTCTGGGTTCGGAAGCTGGGCATTTTCTGTTGCCCTTGAGTGGTTTCGGTCAGATTTAGCACCAAAAAGGAACTTCTTTTACTCTATCTTCGCGCCTTGGTTGGGGGCAGTTTACTGCCCAGCCAGGTATTTGCCTATATAGCCAATACCTTTATTTAATCTTAGGTTCATTAATATATATACAGTATATATATATATATATATATATATATAGAGAGAGAGAGAGAGAGAGAGAGATGATGTTTCAGAGCCAGGAAAAAGTTGGCACACTTACAAAAATCACTGGATGGGCAATGTGTTTACACTTTTCCCTTCCAAGTCGAATATGGTGTATAATCACTGTTAGAAGGGCAAGCCCAGCTACAGCCCGGCACCCTCGCGAGCCCTCTGATCTTTTCTGCCCGGCATTTGACAATACTGTAGTTTCGGGATGCCTGTCAGAGGGCTCGCGTGGGTGCTGGGCTGCAGGTGGTCAAGGGCTTGCCCTTCTGTGGTTATACATCATATTATACCTTCATATCTATATGGCCAACATGTATATGTATAACTGTTTGTTGGTTCCTTTCCCTGTACCCCTTCTTTCACTCAAACAATCAAGCTCACACCTAGTCCCCTGAAGAAGGCCTTTGTACCGAAACATTGGGACGGAAATACATCTTTCATATTTTAGTTGGCTATCAGGTGCACCCTTCTTCCTCCATATATAAATTATTCAACCTTAATTACAAAGCACTTCTCTCATAATCCTTTTACCTGGTAGCATTTTTATGCCAGTCTGAAACAATTATTTCGACAGCCGTTCGAAACACCCTCAAGTTTCGCGCTTCACAGCATTATCATTCTATCCATCAACTATACATCATACTTCCTAGAAATTAGGTGCATTATATCTGAGAATACTGGTACTAATGATCCTCTAAATTCCATGAACGCATCTGTGTCGTTATGCCGAGTTATGGAGATTGTGAGTAGCTGGGACTCAACACAAGCCAGAACAAAGCCCTCGTGGATTTATTTAGGAAGTCTTTACATAGAATTCCATTCCATGCTAGACAACCCGAGAGCAAGGAAGACAATGAGGAATGATTTGGATGTTTTGGAGCAATTGAGGGGAACCGTTGATGCGATTTGCACAATCGAAAATTCAGAAA